ACGATGTAAACAACGATTCTCATCCTGTTTTCGCTTTTCTTTCGCTCGCTGTTCCTATGCCGTTCATAGAATTTGTTTTTCCCTTTCACATCCGTTCATCTTGCAGATACTTGGCCGAATATACCGTTAGGCGGAAAATGGAACGGATACCAACGGTTATCCTTCTGTGCCTAGTGGCTCTTTGTACCTTTGCATATGGTAAGTAGTGTTTTCTCTGTTTTTTTTTGCTCCGTAGCTTCCCTTATTCTCCTTTTGAACTTCAATTTATCTATTTCCAGGCGGTCGATTTAGTTTTCGTAGGTTTAAGTTTTTCTTCTTTCGTGAGATGTTCTAGTGTAGTGCTGCACCACAAATTCATCGCAAATCCTGAAATTTTACCACAACACCTTGAATTCAGGCCAAGAACAGCAGGTGAATGCTCCAAATGCTCCTCAAGCAGTAAATGCACAGCCCGTACAAGCACAACAAGTACCACAGCAGCAGCAGCAACAACAACAACCGTGAGTTTCTAATTTTCAGGTCATATTCAGTTATTGACGTACTGTAATTGATGCGTTGCAGCCCACCGCAGCCAGCTGTGAATGCACAACCTCAGCAGCAACAAGGTGGCGAGACTCTTCTCAGTTTTGACGCTTGCAAAGAAGATATCCATCGTCTTTGTAACAAGGTATACTTGAATCGTCTTTCATTCTCTGATTTCAAACCATTTTCTGAAATTTTTAAAATCTAATGACTGTTTCGTTATTCTTTCTTCTTTTGTAAATTTATTCTAAGCAAAACTCACGACTTTCGGGTGACTTACTTTTGTTCATTCGTTCCAAGTTTTTTCTTGCATTTTCGAATTCAGTCGAAGTTTGGTCAATTGTTTCCTGTAGGAACATTGGAGTTACATGTCCTGATGGATTTTTTTCTGATGTAATCTGTAGCGCAATTGCTTGATTGCAATTATCTTGAGCGATCAGAGTCAATTAGCAGCGACCACTTTTGAGTGCGGTCTCGACTTTCTATCCAATGACTAATGGGTTACGTTTACCAGATGGAGATGGGTTTATATATTCGTTTGTAGGAAGGTGTGGATCTAAAAAGTGATTTGTCCATTCTTGAATGTCTACAAGATGCTGGCCAAACTATGGCAGCAACACTTACGCGGCAATGTGAGGATCTTGTGTGGCAGTTTAAGGTGGGTAGCCTTTTTATGAAACTTTTACTAGGCATTCCATGTCTCATAATTTCATACCATTTTGTATGACAGATTAATTTGAAACATTGAGAAAGATCATCGTAATGTCATCATAGATGGCTGCTATAGGATGAAACATTTG